CTTAGCACAAGAAGAGCTACAGCAATCAAGTGCATAATGGATAGCCTACCAACACTTAAGGAGCTAAATAAAAGAAGACCAGAAGTATATACAACAGCAGAATGCCAAGTATGCTAAGCTGGAGAAAAAGAAACTCAGGCATATTTAGCAAGTTGTAGCAGACAAAAGAGTCTATAGAAGCAAATTTAAAAAGTTGCTATAGTAACAGCATAGAATGGACTCAAGGAAGATGAAAAAATCAAAATTCTACTGCAAGTTCTATATAAGGTATTATTTGAAGAAACAGAAGCTAAAGAAATTACAAATAGAAAAGTGTTGATAAAAGACTTATAATGCTAAAAGTAGGAAAAAGGCTTGAGTGACTCTTAAGCAAGCAGGCAACACAGAAGTGCATAGATACAGTAATAAGAACAGTATAGAACACCTTCTATGACCAAATATAAAGAATACAATGTGAAAAAATACAAGCCTAGAAGAAGAAAATCAATATAATGCACAAAATGAAAAGAGATGCTCATGCAAGAGAAAAAATAAAAAAGAGGGTAAAGAAAGATAAACAAATAAAAGAAGAAGAAAAAAAGAAAGCAGAAAAGGTAGACCAAATGAAAAAAGAAGCTTTAAAGACAATAAATATGCTAGTTACAGAAAGGAGAAGACCCTTCTGGTATGGCTTTAAGTAGTTAGATGAGTAGTCTATTACTAACTAAAATAGTGTAGCAGATTACACTTAGGTACCATTAGGGTGGCTAAGTGATGCTAGACTTAGATATTAGGAAATTCTATATAATTGTATAAATACATAGTTTCAAGAATCTTAATAAAGTACTAGCATAACTGCTTAAGATTAAAAAAAAATAAAATAAAATAAAAGTGATAAAAATAATAAAAATAATGATTTATGATTATTAAGGATAATAAGTGATAGAAGTATAAAAAATAATCTAGCTTCTTATGCACTACTTTATTAATTATTTTTCTGAGATGATTATAGTATTTACTTTCAACAATATACAGATTATAAATATTACTGCTCTTTAGATAACTTTGTTTAAAACATATAAAAATTCTGTTTATTATAAATTACAAGCTCTAAATGCATAACTTAGTAGAAATCATTAGCAGTTCATTAGTATACATGTAAGGATATCTAGATTTTAGGAAATTATTCTATTTAAAAAATTAGAAAGGTTTCGAATTTTAAAAAAAAAAGCTATGTAAAAAATAGTTCATCAGTTGTTTATAACCTCCTAATTTGATAAGATGGTTAGAAAGACTTCAAATTTAAGAGAAAAAAAAAAGCTAATATGAAAAATAGTTTACTGCCTATTTATAATCTCTAATCAGATATGACAGTTAGAAAGGCTTTGAATTTAAGAAAAAAAAGTAAGATATGTAAAAAACAATTTACTGCTGTTTATGATCTCTAATTAGATAAAATAATTAGAAAACTTTGAATTTAAAGGGAAAAAAGTAAGCTATGTAAAAATTGATTTACTGGTTATATATAATTTCTAAATTAATAAAATGATTAAAAAAGCTTTAAATTTAAGAAAAAAAAGTTTATACAAAAAAATGAATTACCAGCTGCTTATAACTCTCTAATTTAATGAAATAGTTAGTAATGCTTTGAATTTAAGAGAAAAAAAATTAAGTTATATAAAAAATAACTTATTAGCTGTTTATGACTCTTATTTGATAAGATAGTTAAAAAGTTATTAAATTCAAAAGAAATAAAATATAAGCTATGTAATAAACAGTTTACTGACTGTTTATGAACCTTATTTGATGAAATAATTAGAAAAATTTTGATTTTAAAAGAAAAAAAAAAGTAATGTAAAAAATAATTTACTGGCTGTTTATAATCTTTAATTTGATGAAATAATTAAAAAAACTTCAAATTCAAGAAAAAAAAAGTAAACTATATAAAATAATGGCTTACTAGCTGCTTATAACCTCTAATTAGCTTAGATAGTTAGAAAACTTTGAATTCAAGAAAAAAAGAAAGAAAACTATATAAAAAATAATTTACAGACTGTTTATAATCTTTAATTAGATAAGATGATTAGAAAGACTTTAAATTTAAAGGAAAAAAAAGAAAGCTATGTAAAAAAATAGCTTACCAGCTGTTTATAATCTCTAATTTAATAAGATAGTTAGAAAAACTTCAAATTTAAGAAAAAAAAGAAAACTAATGTAAAAATAGTTTATCAGCTATTTATAATTTCTAATCAAATAAGACAGATAAAAGTTTTAAATTTAAGAAAAAAAAAGTAAGCTATATGAAAACTGATTTACTAACTATTTATGATTACTAATTTAATAAAATAGTTAAAAAGACTTCAAATTCAAAAAAAAAGTAAGCTATATAAAAAATGGTTTACTGGCTATTTATGATTCTTTATTAAATGAGATGATTAGAAAGACTTTGAATTCAAGAAAAAAAAGTAAGCTATGTGTAAAAAACAGTTTATTGTCTGTTTATAACTTTTTATTTAATAAGATAAATAGAAAACTTTGAATTTAAGAAAAAGAAAAAGTAAGCAATATAAAAAACAGCTTATTAGCTATTTATAATTTCTAATTAGATAAGACAGTTAGAAAGGCTTTAAATTCAAGAGAAAAAAAAAAAACTATATAAAAAATAACTTACTAGCTATTTATAATCTCTTATTAGATAAGATGGTTAGAAAGACTTCAATTTCAAGAAAAAAAAGTAAGCTATGTGAAAACAATTTACTGACTATTTATAATCTTCTTATTAGTATTAACCTGTAGTTTTTCCTTTAACTACAGTAATAACAGAAGCTGCTCAACTATAGTATAATGACTATAACTTAACAGATTCTATACAAAAGTCTATACAAGACTTAACACAATACAGAGTGATTTGGGATTTTAAGGCAGAGACAACAATAGATAGTATATAAAGATACTAAATATTATATTCAGTTTATTAACTATGAAATGTATGAAGATATTTAACTTTCTTGAAGGGTCAGAAAGTAGTGCTTTTATAGATATTTTACATATATAAATTATTACAATAAAGACTATTCTATTGCTAATAAATGTTATTTATAATAATAAGAACTAATAAATATAATAGATATAATATATATAATAGATATAAAAGATATAATAGAAATGATAGATATAATAGATATATAATATCTATTAGATATATTAGATATATTAGATCTAATAGATCTGTTAGAAATATTAGATTTGTTAGATTTCTGGTACAGTAATGTGAGCCAATCAGAATCAAGTCATATGTACTAGAATTAGTATTTTTATCAAAATTGTTCCAATCTCATGATTCTATTTCATAATCACATGATCTTGTGCTCATTAGAATCATCTTGATGAACTGAATTCAATAATGGTTGTTTCATCCAAATTGGTTTGGTATATCAAAAGTTATAGTTAAAAATATTAAAATTCTTAATGTCAATATTAGATATTATAATAATGCCAGCCAAATAATCTTATTTTAAGGTTATATTAAAAAATTATACATGGGATTACCTGCAATAAGGACCTGTGAATTGTCTATTTTTAAGACTCAGTCTGGCCTATATTTAGTGTTAAAATTTTTTTTTGGTCTAGCTCAGTCTACATTTAGAGTTAACATCTTTTTGCTAGCCTGGTCTGGCCCATATATATTAAAATTTTTCTTCAGCTTGGCCTGGCTCACAAAAATTTCTTATATAATTTTATAAAATTTTAGACTCACACTGGTCTACAATTATAAAATTTGCAAATTTTTTGGCCTAGCCCAGTCTGCAATTATAAAATTTTGCTTTAAGCCCAGCTTAATCTGCAAAAAATTACAGGCCAGGCCAGGTCAGACTGGGCTGCAAAACCCAATACAAGTCTCTAACATGCAAATTCTGTGCATGCCTATTTCTATTCCTAAAAATACTTAAATCCAAGAAGATATATACAAGACATAAAACATATTCTATAAGAAATATACATATAAATATTGCATATAATCTCTATAAGTTATCTGATTTTGCAATAATGATTGCTTCATCACTTTGTTGATAAGTTTCTCATTATTATTGCTTAATCAGATACTTTATTAATATATAAAAATAACAAAATAATATATTAGAAAATAAAAGAGAATTGTTTTAATAAAAACCTATTTTTCTAGAAATTGTAATTTATCAGTTCTAACCAATCTTAAATATAACATTACTGCTTTGCTATTCTAACTATCTATTATACAAATTTTTATAAGAAATAGACCTGCCTTTATAACAACTATAGCACTAGCAATTCTAATACTATATGCAGTAAAATGGCTTTAAATATCTGCATTTTTAGTGATTTACTTAACAATAGCTCTTATGACCTTTACTGTAAACTGTTTTTTATCTTTTGACAAAAATAAAGACTTATCATCAGTAGTTTTCAGTCTTATTTGTAAATACTTATTTAGTAATCTAATTAGATAGTAAAAGCTATTTAAGTATTTTATAAGAATAAACTTCTTATTACTAAATTGATCAGTTTTAGAAAAAACTATTTAGATCTAACATAATTTCTTTTTAATCTTAATATCTTTAAGTCTTATTTTACTTAGCTTACTAGGGTGTTGCATAGTTCTTAAACCTATAGCTATTAATGTTTCATCATAGATCCAGAATTTTTTACTAATAAATTGCAGTTTATTGTTAACAAAGTGTTTTAGTATATAAACAAAAAAAGGGTCACATGGCTATTCAGATTCTTTGTTCTTCTTATATTCTTTTAAGAGTGTCTTAAAAACTTTTTTGACTTTATAGTCCTTAGACAGGTCTGGGAGATGTGTCTTTAAAATACTCTCTTAAAACTGCAGCCAGAACATTTATACAATTTACAAAGATATAAGTAAGTTCAAGCCAAACAATGAGGGAGAAAAGAGTATCTACTTTAAATGATAATGCTTTTAAACTTATTAAATTACAATAATTCTTATATAAACTTTAAGCTCTGTCCAAATGCTAATTCTAATTTAAAGATACTGATTTTTTATATAAAGTTTGAGCTCTGGCAAGTAACATATTAATTAATCTAATTTTACTACTAGAAACTGTTAACTGGGGTTCTTCTACAGTTTTATTTGCCTAAAAATACTCTTACAAATGCTATTTGGAAAGATGGTAATATCAAAAAGTCTGTCTTGTTGTGCAACAGAGTTAGTCACCATTCTACAAAGACCTATTTAAAGATTATTACTGTTGCTACTGCCTTCTTCTCTAAAATATGTTGTAGTACACAATGTATTAGAGCTAATAAAGAGAATACATAGTTGTTTTTTTTTCAACTCTGAGTAAACCAATTTATTTTCTTATAGTTGGGACAGTAATAATGATTGTTAAAGTGTAGAAGCTTTGAATTTTGGTAGTTTGTTATACAGTCAATGGTATGAGGTTCCTGTCTTTTTTTTATAAGTTTAAAAACTAACTGTTCTAGACATTAATTATTGGTATTCATGTATCTGATTAAGTATCTGCTAGGTTTAATTCTGAAGAAATCTAAAAAACCTTGCTAAGTTATATATTATACTTGTCTAATTGAACTCAAAGTCTTCTTAACAGGTCTTTTTGTTATAAAAGCTTTTCACTTCTTACTATTATGCTGATAGCATCTTGATTGTTGATATACAAATTGATCTAAAAGTGTTCTAAAAGTTTGGCAAATAATTTTATTTTCAAAATTTCTGCTTTTGTTTATAATTGGATAATTTCTTAATGTAACTTTTTTGAGTTCTAATTTCTGAAGACTTTGTATTCTCTAAAAATTGCCATCCAACCTATTGTCAAAGCATTAACAAATGCTTGTTTTATTTTGAATAGCTTTTAGACTGAATAGTCATTTTGTTTTCTTAAGTTTTGGGTATCCAACTTGCATTTTCTTATGTCTGTTCTGTTATATAGACCAAAAAGTCCTATTTTTATACTCTTCTTTTGGTTGCATCTATTAATGAATAGAATTCTAGACAACAAACCTTAATATAGATAAATGCTCTGTTTAATAATTATATTTTTTTTACTATTATAGCTAACTTTCAAGCTGAGATCTTTTTTTTTTCTGTTAATTCACTTAATAATTTCTTTGTCTTCACAATTTTGTCTTTTGGAACTATTATCTTTGCCTTTACTGTATCTATTAATAAACCAAAAAACCTTACCTGTTATGATAATGTTAATTGACCTTTTGATGTCTCTTTTACTAAGCCATATTTTTTTATATCTATCTTATTATTTAATTTTTTATTATAATTAGGTTTTTTGGTAAAAAATAAGCTAGTCAAAATATCACAAAGTAAATTCTGCAAGATAGACCTAGTAATTTTTAATAATAACTATTAACTTCATAATTTTCAAAAAAATCTATACTGCTTGTTAGAGCCCAAAAGAAAAAACTCAATAGTAATACTACTTATTTATCATCTTGAAACTAGGAAATGCTAAGCATTTTCTCTCATTATAATATAATAGTAAGCTTTTTTCAAGTTCTATATAATTATATACTATTTTTTTCTATTATTTGAAGTAAACTTCTAAACCTTTTAATCAGACCTTTATATTAGACAGAATTAAATTTAATATTCTCAAATTTATCACTAATCTTCATTTCTTAACATTTTTTTTTAGAACCAAAAATACTGAACTTACTTTTAACAAAAATTTAAGTTTTTTTACTTAGTATTCTAAACAACTAATTGCTAAAGTTTTTATCAATCAATTTATTTATTTTTTTACTTATTTTTTTTGTTTTATTGTTAATAAATACTGATTTAAAACTGGTTGTATATCAAGCACCAAAACATTTCTTAGTAATAAGAGAATTTTATTTATTAGCTAATTTATAACTAATAAAAAGAAGCAAAATAGCAATTTAGCTGATTTCTCTACAATTAAACACTTAACTAATTTTTGGTACTCTGACTAATTATATACTCCTTTACTATAAAATAAACTGATCTTTTTTTCTTTCTTACTAGTTTTCTTATAAAAATTATCTTTTTTTAAATTAGCTAATGTTAGTAATAGGTAGTTTTTTACTTATCTTTTAATTATTTTAGTTATATCTAAATCTGTTATTATATTTTTATCTACTAAAACAAGGCACTGATCATAGCTAACTAAAAATTAAATTTTGATATTTATATTTTTATTATTGTTACTAATAATTTGCAAGACTACTTCAACCTTTGTTATTAGCTAATATTAATATTACTGCATTAGTTTCTATTTCTTCTCTAATTCTAATAAACACTTTCTTATCAGATATTAATAATACTTTAATTGCTTTATCTAACTATCTGTCTACTTTAGCTAAAAAGTTATATTTATGCTGGTTATATAGTTTTGATAATTTAATATCTAGCCATAACTCTTCTAATAATTCTCTTTCTACTAACTTCTTATATAAAACTAAGAAGTTTCTATTTTTCTATCTTATTTAAGACTAATATAAATATATCAATCAGAACTGTATTAATTTCTTTCTTTTCTTGAAGATGTGTAGCCAACTTCTTACTTATTCTATAATTAGCTTTCTAAGAACCTATTTTCAAAACATTATCTTTGAGATCAACTACCTTATCATTTAAAAAAACTTTACTATTAAACTTATTTATTCTCTTCTCTGTAAATCTTCTAATTCAAAACTATTTTCTTAATGTGTTTTTAGCAACTTTCCTTTTTTCTTTTTAAAATATCCTTGCAATCTTTCTTTTAAATTTTTCTTATTGCTACTAGTAGAAAGCCCATATGTCATGTATAGGTTTTGTAGTTTTTTGACAGTTAATTTCATTCAATTAGCAAAGAATATTGCTATTAGTTTTGGTTAAATACTATGTATATCTTATAAAATACTACAATGTATAAGTTGTTTTTTACTTATTTATTTATTTATTTATGTTTAAGATAATCAGACACTTATAGTAATAAAATCAGCTTTAACTACTAGATGAGCAATAATAAACTAAAAGATAAAGACATCTATTTAAGGATACAATATTTAAATACATTATCTCTAAACTGATTATTAACTTTCTTTGGCCTACATGTAATTCACATATAAACCTACATAGCTTAAAATCAAAATATGATTCAAATAACAACAAACAATCATTTAAACAATATTTGGATAATAGTCTGTTAGCTGTTATAAGATTAAAAAAATGTAAAAATAAGTTAATATTAGTAAGATAGTTGAAAAATTTGTTACATCTCAGATAATAAAAATTAAAAATTATTAAAATATTATCTAAAAAATAATGATATTATAAAAAAGATATAAGGCAAAATTTTAATGATATTATATATATAAATTAAAGATTAGATAAATTTTAAAATGATATACTATTGGCTTGCTAATAAATTTTTTTTGATTATTTTAAATAATATTAGATGATATAAATTATATTATATTAGTTATAAAAAATTTCAATATATTAACCAAAATATCTAAACTAATTATCTTATAAATAATTTATTAATATATTAAAAAAATTGTATAATTTAATGATATAATAAAAAGATGATGACTTAAAGATAGTTACATAATTTGTTATATCTCAGATAATATTCTAAACATAATACTAAAATATTAGCTAGTAAATAAACTATTATTAAGAAGTTATTTATTAATATCTTGATAATTAGATAAATTATTAAAAGATATACTATTGGCTTGCTAATAAATTTTTTTGTCATTTTAAAAGATATTTGGTTAATATAACAATATTTTATAGATTTTTATATATATAAAATATATTACTATATCATCTTAAAGTTTTAATGATAATTTATTTATAATAATTATATTATTTGCTAATATTTAATAATATTAAAAATATTTTCTATTACATACAGGGCAGACTATAGTACCTTGCACAGCTGTGAGAACTGAGTATATGATAATTGACTCTGTAGAAGACAATTTTGAAAAATTATTTATATAATCTTTAATTCTCTATGATTTTTACACATGTTTTAACAAATTCCTTCTATATTACAATTTATCACTTCTCCTTTATGATCAAACCATTCAAACTTTAATTCAATATATTGACAAATATAATGAACAAAACTGTATTTAGTATTATATTTTCAGTTAATTCATCTTATAATGAAACTTATATATACCTTCCTAATAACACTCTTTTGTCAGATCATATGATTATTGCTCTACATCTTCTTTTACTATTCTATAACATCTCTCTCAAATCCAACTCTCTTAGCTTTACTCCTATTTTATCTGATTCTTTCTCTAATGATCATTATTCAACTCCTATTGACTATAACTCTGTTTTACATTCTTTTGACTCATGTTCTTATTATCTTAACCTAACTATTGCTATACACAAAGTTAAAGGCTTTAATGATCTAACAAAAAGAGAAGCCTGGCAAGATTACTGTCTTAATAATAACATATCTATTGCCAGTATTACTAAAACAAAAATTTTTAACAAAACTAACTTTTTTTTCTAAAACAATAATTTTTTTACTTACTACTAGTCTAACTCTTTATTTCTGCAGAAAGAATGATTCATAATTATCTTAAACCTCATATTCACAGTATTTATACTCACTTAGTAGAAGCTATTGTACTTGATATTTTCTTTTTAAGCAATATCAAACTTTATATTATCTCAGTATACCTCTTATCTACTAATACAGCTATTCACAACCAAAATCCAAAATACAGTAATCAACTGGATTCAACAAGCTTCTCAACTCTACCTCTATCTTATTATCCTTAGTGATTTTAATACACAGGATCATACTTACAGTTCTTCTTCCAAATACAAACTTATCAACTTTCTTAATTATTTCAATATGTATAATATTGAAGCTCATTTTCATAATAAACATTTTACTTGGTCTAACAATACTAGTAGTAGTTGCATTAACTACATCTGAATTGACCAATTTAATATACAATTTCTTCTTTTCTACAGTTTTGACAACAGTCAAACCTCTATCTTAAGTAACTACTTGATTCTTATCTCTACTTAAACATTTTTACATGCCTATAGTAAATCCTTATAAAAACATACTAGAATCAGTGATCATATATTCAATTATAAAATAATAACTACAGAAAACTGAAAATTCTTTGCTGATACTTTAACTCAACAACTTTTATTACACAAAACTCCTATTAATAGTACTACTAATAAAAGTATTAAAA